CGAGGGTGCGTTCCATTTAATGCTCGCAACGTTCGCAAACGTTACTTGTCCTGGTTTGATCAGCTTTCAGCTGCGTTCGGAAACATAAAAGGAGCAGGGGACAGAGAATAAAAATTTCAGCCTATCAGAAACCGTGTATTTCACAATACACGATTTCTGATTGGTTAAAATTCTTATTCTCTGCCAGCTCCAGCTGTTCTCTAGATTTCTTTTATTCTGTGCAGCCCTATATCCTTTTTGTTCCGAATATTGAAGAAGGATAAAATGATATGTGGGGATACTCAGGTAAAATTTCCGAACGCAGCCTTCATTGAATGTTATTCTACGCATGCGTCATTAGTACACAAGGCAGTTGCAGCCTAAAAAGCTGCCGCTGTGGGAACTGGGAAGAAGTTCAGTACATCGTAACTATCAATCGTGACATCATGTATTAGTAACATCGTGTAATTATTATATCATTTTGTTATCTCTATGTAATAATAAGCAAAAAATAATAACAAAATGTAATTGTTACATTTAGTAGTTAGGTAGTTAAATAATACCTAATATGTTTTATTTGTATTATATATATAATTTGAATTACACAGGATAATTCTAACTTCGACTCTACTAACGTGCACAACGACGCGCAGCTGTACTGATCTGAGCTATTGATTTCCGAGTTTCGTGAGGACCGCCAGGGCGTCAGTTCTGAGTCTGAACTCTCTCTTTCTGCTGTGTGTACAACCGTTACAAGATGCTTTTTGAGAACCGATTTTCATCAGAGGTAATCTTTTCTTTTTTATAATTAAACTTCTGTAAAATATTAATGTTACTGTTACAGAAAATATTTTTATATGTAATTTATATAATATTTCGTACGTATATGAGATAAATATCGTAATTTTTGTCTACAAGTTCGATGGTTAGTGAAAGCCGCATAGCAAATGTAAGGCTTTATGTATAAGGCTTATATAAAATGTTAAAAAGATCTAATATTTTATTTTAAGACGAATTCAGACGTAAATTGTATATCCGCGTATCGTATTCATTTTTCGAGTTAAATATTCTTCTTGCATTGAATGTCTTAGCCCTACAATCTGCGGCTGAACAGCTTTAAAAAACTATAGATAAATGAGACACAAAAAGTCTGTATCCGTTTTGCAATAAAGTATTAGTTCTTGTTAGCATTGATAAACGCCTTTATTATGCGACTTTTACTAACTTAACATATTGAACTTGTAGGCAGAAATTACGATACGTATTTGATATACATTGCATAATAAATATTATAGAAATTATGTACTACAAAAATATTTTCTATATAATTGATGATGTATCGTTGATGATTTTATCCTTGTTTAACATTCAGTGGACAAGGATAAAATGATACATCACACGCATCATGCATGAAACGGAACACAGTTACAATCAGTATATGCATGCACGGTGAAATTATTTAAGAAATTTGATCAAAGCAATTATAATTATTAATGCTGGTATTTTACATATTTCAAATTTGATATAATTGTCATAGATAACCATAGATCTCTCCGGAAACGAAATAATATTAAATATATATGTACATGTAATGTGATGATCATAGATCTCTTGGGAAACAAAAAAATATTAAATATATACATGTAATGTAAATGGTTTCGTTACTATTGCGTTACTAACTTTTACATAGCGAGTTACAAGGTTGATCTAAAATTGTAATATACATACATACCCAGATAGCAAAATGTTAGCAGTATGCCAGCAGTATGCCGACAAATTCAATCATGATTGTAGAGCAGATTCCTATCCACTGTGTCTTCTTTAAGTTTGGTTTTTGTCATCATGATTTACCAAACATAATATAATAACAGAAATGCAGTAAGAATGGAATATCCCTTGCCATCATGACGTGATAGCAGAAATGTGTCAAAACTAGAACATAGTCTATCATATCATATATTAACGGCAGAAACACAGCAGAAATCATGCACGATGTGCTCTCACAAAA